CTTCTCCTCCCGGGAACGGGAACGTCGGGGAGCCGAGGGCATCCCGGTGGCGCTGGGGCGGTTTGGTCTCCCCCAGGCGCTGTTTTCTCTCAGGCTGCTGCGCCTGTGACCCTGCCTTTAAATTACTTGAACATAAAGTTTTCAAACGGCTGACGCTTCTTTGTGCATACTTTTTAACATGGGTTTTTTTTTTTTGCTTTTTCACATGTGCTTTATGCATGCATCATTAGACGTCACTGTTTTTTATTATTTGTTGAATGCGTTGCTTGGCTCTGCTGCCGGTTCTTGTATCCTTTGGATTTAATGGGTACAGGGCTTCTTGTAGTTTTACAACAGGAAATCAGATTATAGGGTTAAATAATGTTGAAGGGACTGCTTAAAGAGAGGTGCTGTCGTTCAAGCCGCTTGTAAGTTTGCAAAGTAATACTTGGAAGTCCAAGAAGGGATGAGTAATTGGTTTATTTAGGTCTTTTGATGCAGTTTGGGTTTGTTGTTTGTTTTTTTTTTCTCCTGCAGGGCATAGGACATTTACAAAAGTCTGTGCTGTTCGGTTAGGTGCACTGTATCCTTCAAGGATCCTGCTGCAATAAATAAGCAATATTATTAGATACCCTTTTCTTTTTTTCCCCCCTTCCTACACTCTGTGTCCCTTGAATAATTGCGGTGTTCCACAACACAAAGGCCTTCTATCTTTGTGAATACAAAGTGCTTCAACAGGATGAAACAGCTAATTTGTTGTGAATAAAAAAAAAAGACATCAAATGACAAACAACTGAAACGTTAACCATGCTCAGTTGCATTTTTCCATAGCAGCACTTTAGAAGTAGGGAGGTTTCAAAATCCAATTTTTGTATTCGTACAGAACAGTCTGTGCTCAGGGCATTCTCATTCTCTGGTTTTGAAAATACGCTTAATTATAGGTGTACTCCCTGAAGTCAATGAAAAGGTTTCCACAGGTTTGTCTGAGCTGCAAGTATTGTTTCGAACAACTTTTCCATGATGTTACTCCTTCATATAAATACAGGTTTCTGATGTAGCTTGTAAGCTTCCAGGAGGTGAGGCAGTAGAAGACCTCACTGGACTTATAGGAGAAGGACGGAATAAGCCCATAAGGAGAAAGATTCAATTTAGGCTTAGCATGAACATTTGTGAAATCTGTGTTGTGATTTTTTGGAATCTGTCTGGAAGGGCGCTCTGAATTTCATGTAGCTGGTGATGTGTTCCTACATGCTGTATTTTCATGCCTCATATGGAGCTGTACTTTTGAAGACGTAGTATAGAAGTGTTTGAGACTGAAAATCCTGTGCTTGTATATATATGTTTGCTTGTTGTTTTTACCTTGGAACAGGCAGAAGTTTTAGTTTTTCTCTACCTGCATCTAACAGTGTCTTTTGATTGGAACTTTTATTACTAATCAAGTCAGAAGAGTTAAAAATGAGTAATGACACTGTTACAGTGGTTTGATTTTTGTAATGTGCAGATACGTCCTAAGCTGTGAGAATTCTGGGTGTAAATATAACATTGTGCATTTCTGTCTTTACCTACAGGCAAAGAACAGTTCTGCAGTGTCTGAGGATGGATAAAGACTTCCGCTACTACTTCCAGCACCCGTGGTCTCGCTTAGTTGTGGCTTACTTAGTGATCTTCTTTAACTTCTTAATCTTTGCTGAGGACCCAGTATCTCACAGTCAGACGGAAGCCAATGTTATTGTTGTTGGTAATTGTTTCTCCTTTGTAACAAATAAATACCCTGAAGGAGGAGGCTGGAGATTTTTGAAGGTGCTTCTGTGGCTGCTTGCCATTCTCACAGGACTGATAGCTGGGAAATTTCTCTTCCATCAGCGCCTGTTTGGTAAGTTACCTGATGCACCTACCGGCTTCCCGGCGACGGCTTTCTGACTTCTCCTTTTAGCTTTCTGCTCATTGCAGTTTTGGAAGCTTTACTATCAGTTGCTTCAGCTGTTTAGAGCTCTGTAGAACTCGGTACATCAAAGCTTACATCACCGTGGAAATTAATGCTGTTTCTACTTGTGTGAGCATAATTCGCAATGGTTTCAGTCAAAAAAAGCTACAAATAGTGAAAGCTGACATGTCTGAAATACTTGAGAGGTCAGTGATTTTCAGTATTATAAAAACACTCCTTTGCATCCTCAGGACGATTTTTAGATGTCATTGTATAATTTTCTTGGCTATTTACAGAAAAGGCATTGTTCCTTGGGGCGGCAACACTACATGTCTTGTCAAAAGTCACATAAGTGGAAGCAGAGGCTGTTGTTGGTTTTAGCAGAGCTGTGCTGAGAAGCTCCCATGTGAAAAGGGGAATTCTAGAGAAGCAGGGCTGACTGACTGTCTAAGTAGAAGAGCAGGTCAGTGAAATGGAAAGCGTAGGAAATGGAAAAAAACATGACAGTAGAAAATGTTGAGTCTAAGGGCTCAAGGCTATCTCTAAGTTCTAGAGATAAGTAGAAATAATGGAAAAGATTACTTCACTCCCGCCAGCTGCACTGCTCTTTGAAACGTCTGATTCGAGGCGTGTCGTTGCTGGTCTGGATGGGCTAGTCCTGTATTTTTACCCTGGTAGGACTGCAGGATGGATGGTTACTGGAACACCTCGAAGCTCAGGAGCGACAGGCCATTTCCTTAGTCTATCTCATTCTATTAAGATAGAGAGAGAGCCACTATTGTTTCAATAAATCAAATGTAAAGCTGTTACGTCAAGGAACGATCAAGAAAAGCCACATTAAGAGACTTCTCTTAATGCAGAGTTCTCTTGAAGCATGTATTCTGAAAGATAGTTGAGCATCTTGATGCCTATTCGGTGGACGTTTTACCTTAATGTAATAGTAAACGTAAAATATCCCCATAAAAAGGACATTTTACCTTAATTCCTGGGCTCTGGAACAAGCGCTGTCACAATAACGTTTTCAATTCTGGCTTCTGCAATTGAGGAGTGATTTTGTTAAATTGGAGAAGATCAGGGAAAAGTAATGAAACTGGTGATAAAAATTGGAAAATAAGCCAAGTAGTGAGAGGATTGAGAGGATAAAGGGAAGATTAGAGGGTGACTTGCTCAAATTTGTCTTGGAGGACAGAACCTTCAGTCCAGCAAATCTATTCCAAGGTCCGGTGCTTGAAAGTGGCAAATAGCCAGCGGTTTTTTTTTTTTTTTTTTTTTTTTAGCTGAAAGGGTAGACAGTCAGTGGAACAAGTTATTACAGGATGCTGCTTCAGCTTCATCAAGACATAGGAGATTTTGGGAATATGTTCTAGGCTGGCTACAGAGTATTTATCTGCCTTCTATCTAGGTAGGTTATTATGATAATTCCTTCTGGATTTGTAAGTGTTTATCATAGATAGGATGTAGTTTAAAGTGTCTTGAATCAGCATTACTGCCAAAAGGAGAAGGTCTGCACAGCCTTCCGTGTCTGCTGCTTCGTGCTTTTGTGCAGTTGCTCAGTGAAACAAGATAGGGAACTTACGCACATTAGCAGTACCCATCTTTTGTTTCTGTGAAGATCATATCTCTGTTCGTAATGAAGTTTGTGGCAGCACAAAGAAAGGGTCAGCATTGGGAGGAAACCAGCAGGGAAAAGATTCCCACTCCTGATGGCAGTGCTGGCTTATGGATACTTATGGTTATGGTCTGGGTGACCGAGATGAGTGTAGATACAATCTGATTTGAGGCTAGTTGCTGCACGTTGAGTTTCATGGCAATTTAAGCGACAGTTCCACCCTCCTAACCCCAGCCACATGGTTTTGGTGCCTCCCTCGAGCCAGCGCTGCTGTTAGCATAACAGAGCAGCAAGCCAGCTCAGGCAGCCGATCCGTGGAAAACCAGCTGCTTCTGCTGTTGCCCACAGCATCTCCTTGAGCTGAGGCAATCGCTTGGGTGCCAGTGCTGGTGCGGTGGCCAAGGACGGCGCAGCCAAGCTGGCCGGGGCCCACGGCAGCCCTGCCCAGTGCTGTGGGACTGCACCCACGCAGCGTGCCGGTGGGGATGCGCCTGTCGCTCGTGATGCGCTGCGAGCAGAGGGCAGCCGTGGCGTGACTGAGGATCTGGCTGTGCTGCTGGCTGACGTGGCTGTGCGAGCTGAGAACTAGCTAATGCGGGTGGCGATCGCATCGATGAGATGGTGGTGTGGGTTTGCGGCTTGAGGGCATCTCTGAGTCTCCAGAAGATTTGTACAGGCTGTACTGAAATCTTTCCTGCCAGTCGTTTGCCAGTATTTTAATGTCTACACTGCCTAGAAATCCCTCATTTTATTGAGATCTTCCTTGAGTATGCCCCCTGGATCTTCTGGCATTAAACACATTATGAATTCACCCCTGGATTATTTTTAATTTCCCTAGTTTTATCTTTTTAAGTAGCTGTTGATTCTGTCCTTTTTTTCTATTTCCCCCCCCCGTGTATGATTGTTTGGAACCATTCTGCTTTATAATTTTTATTCATTTATTCATATTTCTTTGCTGAATTCTGTTTGTAGAGGAAATTGCGACTGGTGTGTTGTTGTGGCCTCTGTATAACTTCACGCAGTCAGGAAACCAAATAGCACCAGTCAATCTTCCCCTGTCAGATCTTGGCTCGCAGTGTGTGCTGCAAATTGAAATTGAGAAGGATTAGTCTGCACATCTCACTTTAGATGAAGAGGAGTGGAGAGGATTTTCTTTCTCTGTGCCCTTCCTGCTCTTTTGTCCCTTGTCTTCTGTATTTCTTGCTGCTGAGTTTGCATACAAACTAGAAAAACAGCGTAGCTAGAACTACATTGTAATACAGTTTACCCTCTGCGACAGGCACTGTCTGATAGCCATGACTGCCATGAACTATAAAAACAATAGAATTAAATCCAAGCGTGTTATGTTTCTAGAAGTGAAGGAGAAGTGCTGGAAACAACATTTAGGTTTCATCTCTCTGGGTTATAGAGAGATAAGGGAGTTGGTAAACTGTATTGCTGAGAAGTAGAGACCTCGACTAGAGGACACGATGGGATGTTTTCTCTTGATAATATTCATTACAACCTTTGAACAGTAACCCCTTCAGGGACTTATTCAAGACACTGCTCGTGACTTACAAGAAGATTAGAAAACAATTGCATTTCTTGCTTTTCAGTCAAGAAATAACTTGCTTCATTTGATAAACATCTCCCGTGATAAATATTTCCAGGAAAACAGCCTTTATCTAGTACATTCTTTGTATCTTTATGGCATATGGTCAGAACAAATGGAATTTTAAAATTGCCTTTTGGCTGTTATCCGCTATATTCTTTTGATTCATCACCAAGCCTATCTTCTGTTTGGTTAGGTATTGTGTTCTGCCATGCTTTTTATTTTGCAATGGAAAATGAAAGGTCATAGGTGAATGTGGGAAGTTGGGGGAAGTAAAAAATAAAGATATATACCCCTGCTATTTTTTTGTTCTGCGTGAGAGAGTTACTTGAGGCAGGGAAAAGTGGTATCTTCTTTGCACTTACTTAGACATATCTTGATTGATATTCTGCTTTATTAAAAGCAGAAAGAGCTTACAAACTGACCCCATTTGATGACACTCTGCATTCAGAAAATGCATTCAAATCTTAAATCCCAGCTGAAAAGACGTTCCCAAATAAGCTCTTGCACATTTTTCGTATGGCTCTGGGATACTGTCTGGAAAATAACACGTATTTGGTGTGTAGAAGGTGTATGTTTTAATCAGCACCGTCTCAGAACTGCAACTCTGTATCCACTGTACTCCAACCTCAGGCACAAATTCTGAGTTCAGTGGGGGTTTTTTGGGCCCAAAGTTCAGACTGCGCATTTTGCATTGATATATATTTCATCTATCATGTAAATTTAAAATAATCTTTCATCTGAATAGACTTTTAGCAGTATGGATAAATGGGCAGTATACTTGGAGAAATAATTTCTTATTTTTCTCAGTCTAGCATCTTTACTTTGACTGTTTTCCACGTGTAATAGTCATTAGCTTATGCTGCATATCAGATACATAAATTTTTAAAAACATGCTTACTACAAAACGTGCCTGTGTCTACCTGCCCATTTTTCTGATTCTAGGTGATTATAAAGATGTATTAAAATCTGATTAAAAGCCTCTGATTACAGAGACTGGATTTTATTCAATTGCCAATGAGAGTGCCTGGATTTATATTTGTAAGTTCCTTTCTAAATGATGTGGATGGAAGCCAAATACTTAATATATTATTACAAATGATGGAAAACAAGGTATATTGAACTAAAGCCGTAGTTCTTAAAATAGGGGAATCATAATACTGCCAGTAAGTCAGAGCAATTGAGTAAATGTTGAATTTAATGGATTGCTCTTTTACAAGTGTTCACAGCCTGCAGTTTGTTTAGAGTTAAATGATAATCTGAGCTTCATAGACACTGGGGTGAATAAATAAAGCAGTCATTATAGGAATTGCACTGAGCTGTGCATACACAGTAATGTTGCAAATTTTTAAATGGACAGTAGTGCCATGATGGAAGCGATTTCGTGATAGACAGTTTCAAACAAAACACTCGCTGAGGACCTGTTGTCTGAAAGCGTCTCTCTTTGTCAAACATCGTATCTGAAAGGCTCTAAAAGATATTGCAAACCTATTATGAACAGACTCTTCAGTATCTTCTTTTATACAGAAAATTAAACTGTGTATCAACTGAAGCAGTGAATGCACACAGATTGCAAGAGGAAATTAGGCAGAATGGGATTTAGTCAGGATGATAGTGCATTACATAAGAAAAGTGAATCTGTTACGCGGCAAACAGATGTAAGGTAAATTCATACAATAGTACATACGTGATTAATTAGTATCCCGATATATTAGGGGTCACATTAATGTAAAATCGGGGCTGTGGTAT